AACTTATATTTTAAGGATAGTTTAAGATAATCCTTAAAGGTTGATTTATGAACATATATTGTCTTGGCGCTTATTAAAAGTACTATTTAAAAGTTGATTTATGAACGTATATTTTCTTGGCGCTTATTAAAAGTACTATTTAAAAGTTGATTTATGAACATATATTGTGTTGCTTAATAAAAGTACTATTGATATAAATAATTTTAGTTGTAAAAAGTTGATATAATTGATAACATTTTGAATTAAAACATTGTTACAATATTTAATTAGCTTTAGAAAATGACATGAAGGTTTCATTTTGGCTTTTAGAAAATATTTACCATTAAAGAATTTGTAAATCAATTATAGCAGCAGGAGTTCTAACTCAATTAAGGTTAAGGCTCACATTATGTACTACAAAAAATCCAGTTGTAAATCTTTTAAACATTTAGACGGGCAATGTAAAAAGCGCAACTGTATTGCACAGTTGGTTAAAATAAAAAGCAAAGAAACAAAACAGAAAAAAAATTTTTTAATTAAAAAAATTACCAGCAAAAGGAAAAAAAACAAATTTAAAAAAAAAAATTTAGATTAAAACTAAGCAAAATCCACTGAATTGAAATCTTTTCCCAGCACAAATCCAGCATTGTCTCTGAAATTTTTCTTTGTTTTTTTCTTTGAGTTTGTAAAAAATTTAATTCAATCAAGCAACGGTTCTTTGGATCTTTTTACAATCTTCATGGAGAATTATTTCTTCTTCGAGTTTGGGAAAGTCCATAAATTACGCAACTCTAAACTTATTAGAATATTAAAAATAAAATATCTTTTGTGAAAATATTTTACTTTTTTAATTTTTTTGAAAATGAAACTAAGCAAAGTTTCGATTTCAAGTTTATTATTTAAAATAAATTATTTAGTACATTTAACATAATGCGTTTCTTTAGGTCTTTATTAGAATTATTCTTAATAATTCAAGTTCCATTCATTTTTTTTCAAAGTTTTATTTTTATTTTATTTCTATAAAAGTAAAAAATGTTTAAATTTTTGTTATAGAGTATTTCTGCAATGGAGGGTGGTGGAGAGAATGATTCTCCATCTAATTTAGTATCTTTGCTATGTGCTTTGCAAAAAAGTTTCTTGGCATGGTGCCACTTACAGTGTGGTTGTAATATATCAAAAAATATTGTGATGGATATTTTGTTAGAATGTAAGTTAGTTATTTCAAAAAAAATTTAAATTTATATAGAGTAAACTAATCTAATATTTTTCTTGTTTTGTTTTATAATTTTACCTTTTTCTATATTGTTTATTTAGTGAGTTTGTACCACTAAATAAGCAAACCACCTTTTACAATCCATTATTCATGTGATCAAAAAATCATAAAATTAATAAAAATACTAAATTTTAATAAATAAACATTTAATTTAGTTATAAATTATAATTAATTATAAATATTTAATTTAATTTATTATAAATCCTCAAACATAGGTTTGTTTAGTAGCCAGAATTTCTGTTTTTTAAGAATTTTATTTTTTATTTTTAAAGAAGGTTGATGCAGAAAAATACTATTTGCATAAATATATTTTCAATCAGAATATAAATATACATTTGTCCTGTTTATCTCAGACCCTATTTACAGGTCAACTTGTGACTAGTACAAATTTCTTGCTTGATTGGTGAACTAGGTGTATACAATAATGTTTTTTTTTAGATGTTGGCATGATTTGTAACAGTTGCAATAAAGTTTTCGAACTCATGTGCACAAGTAAATACATTGTAAGCGCCTAATGTTAAATGTCTATGACTTTCTTTTTAATATATTACAGAAAGTTATGCACTTGTTTTTAAATAGATATTATTAAACAAATTTTTGATTATTTGAAACATTTTTTTAAATTAGTTTTAATTAACTTAAAAAATATTCAGATTTGTTCAACTCTTTGCAAGTTAATTTCTGCATAACAACAAAAACTATTAACTTTCAGACTTAATGTAAAATTGATGTCTGACCAGCATTTCTTTTTTCCCATCCTATAAATGTTTAATAGTGTAAAATTTATTACTTTTATGTTTTATTTATTTTTTATTTGTACTTTTTAGTTTTATACTATTGAGTTGTTATAACAACAAAAACTTTGTTGATAAGTATTTTTTACACCGAAAGTTGTAGTCCTTTGAAACAATGAATTTCACAATTAGGTAAATAAAAGATAATTATAGAGACATTTGCCTTTTTATTAGCCAACAATTTTAGTTTTATTAGCCAACAGTTTTAGTTTTATTAGCCAACAATTTTAGTTTTATTAGCCAAAAAATTTTAGTTTTATTAGCCAACAATTTTAGTTTTATTAGCCAAAAAAATTTTAGTTTTATTAGCCAACAATTTTAGTTTTATTAGCCAACAATTTTAGTTTTATTAGCCAACAATTTTAGTTTTATCAATTGATTCTCCCTTTTTTGCATGTATAACTCTAATATTTTTTTCAGATTTAAATCTTTTTTAATTTAAATCTGAAAAAAATATTAGAGTTTAATTTAAACAATTTATTTATAAATCTATTACATTTATTTAAGTCTCAGCTTAATAACCATCCTTAAGTTCATTTAAATCTTTAACTTCAGATCTGGCAGGTTCAGAATCTTCACAATTACTATACAATCTGTTATCCAGTACAAACTGTCTGATATCCTGCTGCCACAGCTATAAATAAAAAACAATAATAAATAATATATAAAAAACATAAAACTACTTCAAAATAAAATTAAAAAAAAAAGTTCCCTTAGTAGGATTTAAACCTTGTCAGCCTCTCATAATTTTAGCATTGTAACATCCACAACACTGTACTGCTATGTTACTTGTATGAAAAATTAATGTATTTAAACAATTTTTGCCTGCAAGTAATGTTTATATAAGCACATTTATTGTACGCGCCTAAGTAAGAAATTTCAATTTATCCACATACATCAAAAATTTCTTTTCAAACACAATTTTTTAGTTATAAACCCAATTAAAGTTGAGTTTTTATTTTTTAAGATAAAAAAAGTTTGATGAATTATCTACAGCAAACTATAAAACTGTTTTGATCATTAATATTGATAGTAAGTTTCATTTAAAAAAAAAAAAAGTATTTTTTAAAGCAAATAGGTTCATCAAAAAGACAAAATTATTACTTTCTACTTGTAGTTTTTATTTTTTATTGGCTAAATTTTTTTAGCTAAACGTTTTACTTAATTATGACTATTTTAATTTTTGTAATAACTTAATATCTTTTCTTTATTTTATTGCATCTTTAATATTTTTTATATTTTGATTTGTTTATTGGGTTTATAATAGTTTGAACACTTTAGGTAAATGTGATTGATAAACTTGAGCAATCTTTTGTGTCTATTGCGATGCGACAACTTGTAAGTACAGCTTGTTGTTACTTTAAAAATTTCAATTCAAAATATGTTGCTGTTTTCTGTTTGTGCTAGTGGTTCAATCAACCAATCATAAGTGTGACAGTATTTAACCAATCAAAAACTTTTTTTATTCTAGATTTTATTCTTAAACTTGTTTTTAACAATGGAGATCAATTATGTTGCTTTACTCAATAAACTTCAGCCTTTAGCTTATACACTTCAGAGAATGTCAGACTTGTTTCCTGAATTTTTTTTGCAAGATGACACATGTACTTCAGAAAATTCTACAAAGCATATTGTCTTACGAGAATGGGAGTGTGAATCGAACCATGATTACATGAACAACAGTTCCGTATCTAAGGTTTTACCATTTTATAAAAGATACAAAATGTTTCAATATTTTAAATTAAGTATTATCATTTTCTGCATTTCTTAATTTTATTTACATTTTTCATTAAATTTTTCAGGTGTTTAATTGCCCAGGATGTTCAAGTTTCAAAGTTGAATTTGATCCATTGTGTGAAACAGAGCGAAGGTGATTACTAAATCACATTCAAATATAAATGTATTTTTATGGATATTAAAATACTTTTTTTCATTTTTTACCCTTTTTACATAAATTATACAAGTTAAGTTAAAATAGATAATTTAAAGTAAAACAAAATTAAACAAAATCAATATCTGCAGTACACAAAATTTGTAATTGAAATAGAAAAGAAAAATTATAATTAGAATGTGATTTTTTAAAAGGTATGATTATTTGGAGTTTACTGATTCATTGGGTAGTAAGACTCGGTTCGATCAAAAAGTTGGCAGTGAAACATGGCCCAATGTAATGTTTTTTTTTTATTTTTTTATTTTTTTTTAAAACACTTATAATGGAAATGATTTTTGTTTTATTATTAAATAAAAAATTGATAGTTTTAGTCAATATAAAAAGTTAAAGTCATTTCAATTAAAGATATATTTTAAGATATATTTATCTATAGTATATATATATATATATATATATATATATATATATATATATATATATATATATATATATATATATATATATATATATATATATATATATATATATATATATATAACATTTTTTGAATTCAAGGTTGTAACATTTGATGCTGGTCAAAAGCTTCATTTTTTATTTCATTCTGATGGAAGTAAAGTTTTCTGGGGATACAAATTCAAGGTCTTTAAAAAATAAAAATTATTGTATCTAGATATTTTTAAACATGAGTTTAAGATTGTCAATATCTTATATTCTAATTAAAGTTAGATAATGACAATTTAGAAAAGTTTGAATTTTGAACTTGTAAAAGTGAATTAAATAGTTGTGTTTTCTATTTTGACAAAAGAACTTTTTTTTAAAAAAATGATTCTGTAGGTTTATGCAATTGGGAATCCTGATCTTGCAATAAGTTGGATCTTTGATTTACAATTGACATTATGGAAGTTTTTTGGGTCTTTTTGTGGAAGTGCTTTAGATTCAAGAAAAGGTTTTTAATTTATTGTTATTTAGTTACTTTTATTTTATTTTTACCAGGTAGTTAACCAGGAATATATTTTTTGGTATTTTATTGAATCATTACTTTTGAACAAAAAGCTATCTGATTTGATTTTCCTCTTTTCATGAAATTTATGCATTTCATGCAATTTATGCAGTTTTCATGCAATATATGTTTATTATATGGTCATATTATTATAAAGGAATTTTTAAAAAAACAAGAGAAAGAGTAATTATGATAATATGAGAATGGTATGGTAAAGTAGAGATTGAGAATAGTGTGTCCATGACCTATCAGGAAAAGTTAAGGTTAGATATGTTGTAAAACAGATGTTAAATAGATTTGTAAAATATGGTTTAGTTAGGGTATTATTAGAAGTAGTTTCAGAAAAAGGATAAGATAGAAAATGTAAGACATTTTTAATTTTAAATAATTTTATCAATGAATGTATTTTTAAATGATTTTGTTTACTTTTTATTAGCATTGGGTTCATTAAATTCAAGTGAAGAAAATGACAATAATGAGGAACAAGCTCTTTTACATAGTAAATTGTGGGCCTCATTATTTAGAGGAGGATACTTAATTGGCAAGCTTGAGCGATCATTATCTGGTTTTCATGTAGGATTTTTTTAATAATTTTATTTAGTTTTATATTAGTGTAATAAGTTTGTATTTTAAATTTACTATTTTCCTTACTTATTATTTTTCTTACTTATTTTCATGCATTTTTTTTTTAGCAAAACAATCCTTCAGACTGTGAAGTCAGCACATTTTTGAGCTTTATTGCAACAACCAAAACACCTCAAGCAGAAGAATTTATTTCAAGGTTTCATAAATATATAAATATTTATTTCAAAGTTTTCATTACTCAACTTACTTCAAACAATTACTTCAAAGAATCATTACTCATGTCACCAGCAAGAGCATAAAGCAAATGTGGTATTTGTGATAATAAAAAATATATAAGTATTAGAGCCTATACATAAAACAAGTGAAATAAATTTATTTAACTAAAGTATTATTAAAAATAAAGGTTATTGTTAAGAATAAATAAAGTTGAAGTATTATTAAAAATAAAGGTTATAAAGAAAAAATAAAGAACAAATAAAGGTTTTAATAATTAAAATTTAGAATTTAAGTCAAATTTAAGCTCATTTCATTAAAGGCAATTCTGATACACGAGTCAAACAGTTGGGTTAATGTGATAAACCAATTTAATTTGGTTGTCCTCTAGACTTGATTTGATTAGTCAGGAAAATAGTCAGTTTAATTAACAATGTGTTATCCAGCCCTGTGACTTTGCAGCTTACACTATTAACACTAATACACTAATAAGAATATTTTTAATTTTAAACTGTTTTATTGTGGGCTGTTAAACCAATAGTTATTATATACACTATAAATGTTTATTTATTTTTATACGTTATATATTTAGAAAAAAATCATTTTATAAAAATTTTTTATATTTTATTATAAAGTAGTTATTCTAAAATAATTTCCTGCAAACATTTGTTGATGAGTTAATATAAATTAGTTTCCTGCAAACATTTGTTGATGAGTTAATTTTGTATGTTCTGATCATTCTTAAGTGAATAAATAATTTTATTTACTTAAGAATAAGTTTGGTTTTCTAATTATATTGTTGACATCTTGCTGGTTAGGAAAGTTTGACTTTCAAGCCCACTTGTAAAGTTGTAATTTGTATCTCCAATTTCTTTCTTACTATCAGACTAGCAGCTTTCTCATTAAGATAGCTGATAATTTCACTCCCCTCACTCCACAAGTACTTTTTTGATCTCTTCTTTATAAATCCACACAGTATTGAAATCCATCTGTTGGATGCCAAATTAAATAGTTGTTCCTCAAACATAATTTTTTTTTTAAATAATTGTTGGTTTATAGTTCAGTTAGTGGAGTCAACTCTACTATTATACTTGTATGACTAATTTTTGATAGTTCAAGAATGATCTAGAAAGTTCTGGAAGTTTCTTGAAAATTTTTTTATTAGAATTTCTCTCGAAAATTCTTAGACCTTTTGTAGAAAGTTCTTAGGCCTTTTGTAGAAAGTTTTTAGACCATCTATAGAAAGTTCTTAGGGTTCTTAAACCAAGAACTTTCTCAAAAAGGAAAATAAAATGCTGTCACAGTGTTATTACACAAAGTAAATTGATAAATTTTGTTTTATATTTAGTATTATTATATGTTTTTTAAATTATATACCTTTATACATGTATAATAACATTTCGTTGTGTTTATAAATAGTGTTTTAAATAAGTAAAACCTGTAAAAAGTAACCTTTGCTTTAATTTAATAACAAAGTGATGAAAATAATAACAAATTAACATAGTGACAATAATTTAGATATCAGTTCATAAAGTAGAATTGGATTTATAGCAGCTGTAATTTAAAAAAGTATGGGACTGTTAAAATGGTTAAAGATTTATTCAATTTGCAAAAAAACAGAAAAATTTCTTTGTTAAAAAGTTTATGATATATTAGGATATAATTTTAAAATGCCTGCTCTGATAGCTGTCAAACAAAGGAGATAGTACGCTGGTACTCATTAAAAAATATATTCTTTTATAAAAAGTGTACTTAAGAACAAAAG